TGGGGGTGGGGGGGGGGGGGGGGAGCCAATAGATCGGATTGCGTATTGCATTTGTGTGGTCATATGAGTGTGCATGCGTGTCTCTCGTTGCCACGGAGGCGACCATCGAGCATAAAGCTAAGACAAACTACCGATGTCACACTTTCCTCAAAAAGACAATCTCATGTTGCGTTTCCCTTAAAGGAAGGCAATTTTGCCATACCGCTACACCCCTTGCCACTCCACTAAAGAAAAATCACTCACCATTCCAATCAATTTTTTCACATATACTCATTCACTGGCAGAAGGTCTCTTGCGAGTGTGAGAAATTTCTCACCCAGAGTAACACTAAATGCAAATCGGATTACATCTTGAATGGTGCGCGCCTCTGACGCTAATCTGAGGCGCACGACACCTGCTGAGGGAACACGCCATGGGCGCCGTGTGACGTCACGGCTTGCTCTGCAAATAGCCTAACCAGCATATCCGTGTCAAGGTGACAGCAGAAAATACAAGTCGTAGTACACGTGTGGCGTAAAAATACATGGGGCGATTCGTCAGTTACCAAATCGAACAGTGGGAGACCGCGCTTTTGGTACATGGGCCTGCAGTGAGGATTAATCGGACTTAATCTAGCGCTAAGTAAAATAAGATCAGATAAATCGCCTAACCTTGATTATATCATCCTGATCACGTATACATACAATCAGTTTTGTCTAAAAATGTGCGACTGTGCCTCATTCATCTTCTGGAATGCTCAGTAATTTAGACTCAATATTTATATGATAACATGAGAAAAACAAAATCGCAGATAAAATAAAAATTGCTCTGACCAACCAATCAGAAGAGGGAAGAAGGCCGACGTCACTGTGGGACAGCTAGCTGTCACCAATAGCAAAAATATACAAGTATTTGGTGCAAACCCCCCCCCTTCAAGAAATGTAATGTGCAATAGATGCCACAAGAGATTTCGGCCTGTCTATCAGAAGATCCTCCACTCACTTCGAAAAAGATCCTTGGCACCTAGAGGCCACAAGATGGCTTCGAAACAATATTAGACAAGGCTTCAGTCCCAGAACAAAAACAGCTACATCGACCAGCGCTACAAATCGGTGCAGTGTTATTGACAGTGTTGACAAAACGTTTAGGCGGGTGGGGTGTTGTCACCTTGTGGAAGCTGGGCAGCGAGGCCCCTTCAGGAGGGCTGTCAAAGCTGACGGGTTCCTCCTGATCCTCCCCCTCCTCCTCCTCCAGGCACAGCTGGATGGGTTGCAAGGTGGGGCTGGGCGAGGTCGTGGTGGCGGCGGCGAAGGGAGCGGAGGGCGGCGCCGGCACCGGCGAATCAGGCTGCCGGTTTACCTCAGGGCCCTTGGGCGACGGCAGCAGGGCGGTTGGTGACAAAGTGAGGTTGGCCTACGGCGGGGGAAAGGGCGAGGGGAACACTTGGCATCTTCATTCCACTGTGCCTCAACTGGCTCTCTGACCAGAATTCACAAAAATGAACATTGCCCCGTGCTGTCCCATTTTTAAACTACAGAACACTTCAACGTACTGCGTGTAGTTGGAACTGTATCGATAGATAAATAACAATCTGGGTTTGTTGTCTACAGTATACTGTATGTTCGATTAGATGAAATTAAATGTGATTGCACAAGCCACAAATGCAAGGTAACTAAGATTGCGCCCAACCAAAAGTACATAGGAAGTAATTAAATAGCATATACATGTATTGTGTGATATGGTGTATAAATATGTCAACACGAGTGTCAATTTTTACAGGTAGAATCATATGATGGGCTAACTACATATTCAGTCGCTGTACATGATTTTCACTGACACAAAGTCCGTCTGAGGGGAAACTACATCCACAGTGCGGCTTGCAATCAAAATCAATGGAGCACTCCTACTCTATAACATACATAGAGTGAATAAAAGCAGAAAACTCAATTCCCACGCCCGTCCTACCTGCACCGGCGAGAAGAAGAAGAGGGAGAAGCGGCAGCCCTTTTGTCCCATGGCTGACAGGGCGCGTGTGACAACGCTGGAGATTTCCACCCTCACTAGAGGCCCCGCGGGCCCGTGATCCCATTATGAGCTCGTTAATCTGAGCTCAACAGGGACAAGTGTCCCCCGCCTCAAGACGTCACCCTCAACCCCCTCGCAAACCTGCCCTTACATACTGTTACTGTAGTGGCGATGCTTGTCCAGCGGGTGGCAGCAGTGCAGTACCTGAAGTCTCTCGATGATGGCGGAGCTCTTCTTCATCCTGATTTGAAGAGGACTCGTGGAGAGCGTTTCGCTGGCGTTCGTCTGGAAAACAAATACGATCGTCAAAGCCCTGCGAGGATTGATTAATTGACTCAACTGCCGATGGTGCTATTGAATACAGTCAACTAATTGGGTGAACCGATATAGTCTCCGTTATGTTATGAACTACAGATGAATCGGTGTCTGATAAATGAAGCTACACGACTACCTGATATCTTAAAATAAGGCCGGTGTCGGGAGTACATCATGATCATCCTTGTCTTATTTTCCGCTTACCGATTTAAGATTTTTATTGGTGTCAAAACGAGCCAAAGTTGACCCAAACAGTATGTAAGCAACAAATATGTTATTTGGAAAGTATTTAAAAGTTTTAAGATGGCAGTTCATGAAAGCCATAAGAATAACTTACATCGGATTGTTGCACATCATCGTTCCGGATAGGAAACCTCAGCGAACATGGAGGTTTTCGTCGAAAGGGTGACTGCAAAACAAGAGAAAAAAACTGACAATGCAAACCTATGTAGAGCTATTATAAATGATCTCTTAAGTGGTCTAACCTCATCGTGCGCAGCTGGCATGGGCAGTATATGACCTTTGAACCTGCCGGCTAGCTCGGCCACCGATAGCTTGGATGAAGAATCCTTGTTGGGGAACAAAGTCAAGAAACATTTGCATGATTGATTATTGTCCTTCCAAGACCTCACGTTCCTTTTGAGATCCTGACAATGGGGCAGCCTGCAACAAATGGCTGCCATCCGAATATAATAACATTTTGTTTCATGGCGTGTCACAAATTTTAAATACACCTCAGAGCCCAGAATAATGTCAGCATTTCTCCGGAGACTTCTGACGTCCACAGGAAGTCGAGTGGACATAACGCTCCCTCCTTCCCTCCCGCCGCCCTGGGCGCCCCAACTCAGGGCAGGCAGCCGCCTCCAATTCTTAGGTGAGAGCGCTTGCATCCCCTCCCTGCCCGCACGCACACTTTCAGGCGTAACCCATAGCAACGTACACACAAACCGTTGCCTAAGCTCGATCCACACACATTTTAATCGCAAATTTTATTTTCCCTTTTTTTTTTCCTTCCCTCGGTCAGGCATGACCTCACCACCGCCCGAACACATGACATCAGAACGTCAGCCGCCGACGCCCTGAAGCACGGCCCAGAAAAACGCTATGGGACCACCCAGCCCTCCAAGCTCTTTTACGCTTTCCAAACACACACACACACACACACACACACACACACACACACACACACAAACACACACACACACGCACACACACAAAAATCATTGTACTTTTGTTCAACTTTTGTCAAATTGAACAGAAAATAGACAGAAAAGCTTTTCTAAGATGAAAATCAAACAACACCACCAAACAAATCCAGCGGACTATCTGTGAGAATCGCAGGGCCGGCGAGACCATTCAAAATCAATATTGTTCTTGCTACTCTTGCTATTGATCTGATTTAAGACACTCATGATCGATCTGTGATGACGTTAGCTTGTTTGGATGTGTCATTGTTGTTTTTCACCACATCCGTTTGATAACATACTTTGTCTTCCTCAGCACATGCCAGCGCAAGCCAAATTTAGCAATCGGCTACATGTATACTATGTGGAGATCGAGTGGGAATTTGCGGTTGACTGAGAGAGTGCGACAAACTATTTCTGGGGCCAGGACAGGCCTGGGAAAAAGCCCCCGAAACAAAGCCTGGCAGCCCGGATCGCCGCTCTGCTGCCTAAGCCCCCGCCCCATCCTTGTCTGGCCCCTGGGACAGAGGGGTCCCCAGATGGGCCGCAACACATCTGGAATGGAACATACGAAAAATCTATCCAACAACAAAGCACATTTATATCAGGAAACCATGGGAAAAGGTACAAGCCAGTTCAAACGTTGAGACTTTCCCAAATCCGGTGAATACGTCAGCGCATATCATCGCAGCCTCGCTCTGCCCATATTAGCTGCCATTGGCAAAAAAAGCTTCACTATTGAACTGTGGGGGAAATCTGCTTCGTATTGAGGCTCATTTGGGCAATTTCCCTCAGTAGCAATTTGTCGATGACAAGGCATGGAATTCCCCCAAAATGGCCGCTTCAAACCAAAATGGCCAACTTCCTGTTTCATGTCAAGCAAGGCCCTTCAGACTTTTTAGTCTGACTTTTTCTTGTTAGGACAGACAAGTCAACTGTGGGGATCCCTAAAACACATCAAAAACTGTGACAGCACCTGTTCAATTTTGGGCACAGATCCTTGAAACTTTTTTTTTGGAGATCCTGTGACATGTCCACATAATCTCACGTCAACTGGTGCACTGGTGGTCTGAAAACAGGGGGCTGCAACGCCATATTTATTTTATCGGGCCTGAGTCAAAATGGCCTCTGATTGGACACAATATAAAATGATTGACACAGTCAGAAAAAAAAAAAAAAAAAAAGATTTATTTGCGGAATAGAAAAATCTCTCACATCACGTTGCAGTTTGACTGTGCTTCCTGTCATATGCACCACTTTGGAACATGTTCAAGAACCACCAACTGTCATTTCAGTCCAAATTTGTGCTGCAGGGGTACATGAATATTACTTTCGAAGTCATAAACTCCAGCAAGCCATGTCCATGTTTTCATCTGTTTCTGCTCCAAGTCACTTTCCAAATGGAGCCGCTGCTCACGGGACACGTTTGGGTAAGCTTTGTTCATCACGAGTTGACGGTTGAATCCCCGGCGGGAGGCGTTTTGTTCTATCGACGTGCATGTGAGGTTTTCCCGTATGATCTGGCAGAAGACCACACAACGGCTATTGTCTGTGGCTGCGGCTTTTGCAAGAATCCTAAGAGATCCGAGCTATCTAAGTCGAAAGCAAATGGATAATATCATCGAGAATAACATGCCTGGCTCAAGGCTTGCAGCCTTGTTTGCTTCACTCCAGCAACAAAGTACGGTGGTCGTAAAGGGTCAAGACGTTTTTTGACAATCTCACTTTGTGGCCACACCACCGAGGAGAGGCACTGATTGTACGTTTCTGCACTCCTGCCTACCAAAAAAGGCAACAGCCAGTGGCTGGTTGACCCATCTTGAGTTGCGGCTGCCTGAGGAAGCCGGCGATAAAGTGGCGATAACAACATTTCCTCTTCCTGGCGCTGCTTCTCAGCACCACGGCAACCTGGCAGATTAGCTGACTCTGCACGTCGTCACTGGACGTGGCCTCTTTGGGTCTCCTCCTTTCGGGCCTCCTTATCCACCGCTCTGTGGTTCCCACCGCGGCTATCTCTGAACACCATAGGCGCTTTTACACGGAAACTTGCGAGGCTCAGAGTCTGACTCTTCGCTGATAGCAGGGTAAGAAAACACATTACGTGTTCATTTTGAGGTAGGTTTACACAACGACTGAGGAAAATGGGAGTCCCAGTTGACAAGGACCTACGAAAACTGAACCAAAAAAAAAAAAAAAAAGGTGGGGGAAAAAAATGCTGTAATACATATGCCACGCCTGTAGATGGCAGTGTCACAAACATGGAATAGTAAAGCGCTAGCTACAAATTCACCAATTTTTATCTGTTGACCTTTTGACTTTTTCTGTATGACTACAATGCCACAAGAGGCCAATGGGAAAGTAGTAATTGATGTCTCGGAAGTATGTTGAAGATCTTTATATGTCAGGAAAGAATTTAGTTTGGCCTCGGTTGTCGATAGAACTTACAGAGCGTCTTTGCCTTTGTTTAAGTTTTACAAATAGCAATAAATAAGTAAATATATAAATAAAGTTCCTTATGGATTATTACGGTTGAAAAATAAAGTGTGTTGCCTTCACAACCAGTAAAAATAACAAATAGGATTTTTAGGGATTTTTAAAAGCCACTCAACAGAGAAATGCAGCAAAATCGCTTCGGAATTTGGAACAGTTGAGACATATCATGTCAACAGACTTCCTGGGCACCAATGACTGCTTTCCTATTAGCAAAGGAATGTGAAGTGAGGAGCTTCATTTCGACAAAAGTTGTGCTTTTCCGCCATCTTGTGGCATGTATAGCTTATTAGAACCTTTTTAAGGGGCGTGTCAATGAATGGTACTTAACACGGCATCAAAATGAACCAAAATGTTGCGATGGCACATCTGCAAAGGCTGCAGAGCTTTTGCAAAAACAGCCCCATTAAAAACTCCACTGACATCATCACACTTTTGGAAAAGCTTCACACTGAGCCAGAATCCAACTTGAGTAGCGCACCAGCAGGATGCAGGATTCTCCTCAAAAACACTTTAGCAGCGGGGAAGTAACGAGGCCTCGCCCCCCCCCCCACCCCCTCATTCCCTTTTAGTCGAGCGCAAATCCAGTCACAGTGCTCAACTGTTCTCTGGCCCTCCCCTATGGTCCAAAGAGAAGTTAATGTGGTTTGCAGGATACTTTTTTGAAGCAGGAGGAGGCGGTGACAGGAAAATGTGACACGATGTTTGTCAATCACCATTTGAACATACAGTAGGGCTCTCAAACTTCATTCAAAAAACACTAAGCATCCATAGTAACTCGTATTGCAAACCAGGAAAGAGTTGTTTTACTCTAAATGTTTCAAAAAAAACAAACAAAGAAGAAAAAGGCCAAGTTATGTAATTTTGCCCAGTAGTTGCACTTTTCTATAAATCTGACAATCGATTTTGTGAGTTCCGAAAAAGAAAACGGACTACAATATCTTTGTAGCACTTTCCGAAAAAGAAGACAACTATTGACGTTGCAACTTCCTAAAACAAAAAGACTGACTACGAAGCAGCACGTTCCAAAAAAGAAAAACTATTCGTGTTGAATTTGCAGTTTCCATAAATGAAAAAAAAGACTGATGTTGCACTGTCCTAAAAAGATGTAACTTCCTCACAAAAAAGAAAAACTTAGAATTTAGCACATTCCTTAACAAAAATATTCATGTTGTACTTTGATAAAAGAGAAAAAAAAAAGATCGATATTGAATTTTTGTACAGATTGCTGTTTTCACCCCCCAAAATTCCCCTTTCATCTGGCCCCGATGCGGTGTGTCTGTTTCCTATTACAGTACAGGCATCCACCCTGTAAACAGATGCAAGATCTGCCGCCAATCACCTCTACTACGATGTCGCCGGGTCCAAAACAAGTCAAATGACTTCTCATGACGCAACGTTACATAAGGAATGTACTTTATTTGCCCAGCGGTGTCAACATTATTCGCTAACTCCCAAGAATCCGGCGTCCCAATCAAGAGCCTGTGCTGGCTCCCCAGCCGCAGGGTGGTGCCGGCCGGCCCCTCATGACACACATGAAACACTTGGGAATAACTTTAATTTAAAAAAAGGAAAAGAAGGGCGCTTGTTTTGCTGTTACAGGGAGGAGGCTGCTAAAAAAGCCGTCAGGGAAATACCACAGAGGAGTAACCCAACAAAAAGGAAAGAAAAAGTCAAATACTGTACTTAGAGTTTAACCAAGTACAGCCCCAGGAAGTCCATCTTAAACATATATGCACTAAGTGTACTTGACGTTTAAATAAATACCTGAAGAAAGTAATAAAGCATACAGTATTAGCTAATTGATTTAAATAAATGCTGACAGGCTAAAGTGGCTAGCGAGTTCATTCATGCAGGTTTAAAAGCTAAAGTGTTTCGCTAGTTATTTGAGTGAGTGTTTACAGGCTAACGTGGGTAGCTAGTTAAACAGTTGACTGTTAACCAAAAAATAAAAAATAAAAATGCTAGCTAGTCATGTAAATGTCTACAGGATGATGTGGATAGCTATTTATTTGACACAATGTTTTTGAACTTTTGCACTTAATAATAAGAATAACGTAAATGTTGCCAACATCTTATAAAAAAAGTCCAAGGTTGCTTTAGTGGCAAGCGAGTAATTTAGCTCCAAACACAAACAGCTCAAAGCTAATTTCCCAAGCATGAGCTTTGCACTGATTCCACTCGCGTCCCTGGAAGAGAAACGTGGAATGACAAACAAGTTGCCTTAAAAAATAATAATAAAATAAAACAAGCTTCAACAGCGTCATTGTTGAAAATGTAACTTAAAATTCTGTTTAAAAAAGAATTTATATAGATAGATAGATAGATAGATATAAATTAATAAAAATAAATTTCACCTCATTTACATTTTCCTGTACATTTCAATCAAATTCGACTTTCTGAATTGAAAAAAAAATGACACACCAGTTACATTTAGCTAGCTTTGGCTAAAGTGATGTTCGCGTCGAAAATATGATCTCCATTTAAATCTACTCTTAATCTTTTGACATTTTTTTTAAATTCCCTGACAAATCTCTATTTCATGGAAAATCAACTTTTAAAGATAAAAGGGACACAAGTTCGGTTAAGCAATCTTGGGTAAAAGAACAAAAGATTTATCGTTTTGATCTCACATGTTTTCTTACTTTATTTACACATCAACATTTCAATCAAAATCAAGTTTTAAGATTTTTTTCATTGTTAAAAACAAACAAAAAAAGACAAATAAACAAATACACGACAGAAAAGTCAGCTGGAGCCTGTAAGGCAAGAGAACATATGCTAATAAATTCTGCTTGACTCTTCCCTTGACTCCAAATATTTTTCCAACTTCTAGAACGGTAAAACAGTAATAAAAATAACATGAAAGAAAAGAAAATGGCGTTAATGAAGAAAAAAAAATCCTTAAGGACAGGAAAATTACCTCCATCCTGGAGAATGCTCCTCGCGCGATGGTGCCCTCTTTATTCTTCTTTCTCTTCTTATTTGTGACTTATTTCGTGAGGTCTATTAGTTTTAAAAAAATAGTGCATGTGACAAGCAGACTGCAGCTGTGTGTTTATATCCGGACACAAATGAGCCCCGTGGACGAGGAGGAGGAGGAAGAGGAGGAGGAGGAAGACGACTTTTACTCACGCTTGTTTTTGGAAAGCCACCAAGTTAGCCACCTTAGGTAACACTACTTCCCTTGAATCTATTTCAAAATAAAAGAAACATGCTTCCACTTCCGACTTGTTGCCTTTCTAAACATTGCTCGACTTTGAGGGACACCTTCGAAAAAATTATTATATTCATTGAATCACTTAACAATTCGTGTCCACTCCTTTTGAAACCGTTTATAATATTTATCCTCAAAGCTGCAGTCATTGATTCATTTGATTTGATTTGATTGCATTCCAGTTTAGGGGATTAAAATGATAAGGATGACTTTCATTGTTTGATGTATTGTATTTGTTCTTATTTGCCTGAGCCAACAATCTAAGGTGACACACAAAAGCAAATGTCATTCATTGTAGGTCACATGACTTCATCCTTCTCACATGAAAAAAAAAGTCACTCCTGACAAATAAAATCATGTGTTGTTGTTGTAGTTGTTATCGTCGGGAACCTCTTTGTACGAGGGGGGCCACATGCTCCCTGCGGCCACACAGGAAGTGGCTCACTCATGTCAAGAGGCTGCGCGGCGCACACGCTCGGCATTTTTCCATCCACTTGTAAATGACATTTTGTTGTCGGTCATAACATGGTCAACGTGTGGCATGGGTACAGTACACCAGCTCTCTCTCGTGGCATGTGAACGAATCTTTACTTTCGTCCAGCTCAGTTGTATTTAACTTTTGCGTTCAAAACATTTGTATTTACTATTTAAAAAGTGTTTGTTTTATTAACTTGCAGGGTTAATGTTTAAACTGTGCATACTGTTGCAATAAGTTGCAATATTTTTTTTCTGTTAATGCGTTTGAGAACCACAGCTCCAGGCAGGCCGCAACAGAAGTTTACGTTTCTGCCCTCTAGTGATCATGAGGGCAAATGCAAGTCTGAAAGGGCTGAAAGTTTCTGATGTTGATCCTTCATTGACTGATGGGTTTTATCATTATTCATACTTACTTCTTCTTTGAGTGTCTGACTCATTTAGATAAAATTGAATCATCAAGAGGTGTTTTGACTATTTCCGCTTCCATTTTATTTGATTTACCTGCCTTGTGTTTACTTTGATTGAATTTAATTTACCTGTCTAATAGGGAGTCTGTAGTTTATTTGATTTGATTTGATTTTTTTCACACTGTCGCGACGACACTTTTGGTCACACGAACAAACAAAAGAGCAGGTCTGGCCACTTGTCAATCAATTCAGGAGGTCGTGACCTTCGACTCATCATGTCAGCTCCTCTGGTCCGTGTGAAGGGAAGGCGCACCCACGCTGGCCTGCCAGCCATTTTGTTCATCTGTCTTGTTAGTTTATGTTTTGATAATTGGCTATGTGTTATTTATTTTTCGATATACCTTAATGGGATGTGAATTGAATTTAATGTTTTTATTTGTTGTGTATTTCACAGTCCTTCATTTTGTAATCATCATAATAATTAGCATTGTTTACCTTTCATGTCTTGGACGGGAATTAAATGTCATTAAAGTTAATTTTCCTGGTTTGCATCGGAATATCAATTTAATTAAAATGAATGGTGCTAATTTTATTATTTACTTGTCTTATACTGGACATGTAGTCAACTCAACATCACCATCTCCTTGTAAAGAATTCTCAAAATGTGATTTATGGTCTCCCTCTGGTGGTGGATGAAAGAATGACTGAATTAAAGGTTCAAACTGGGCGTAATGTTACAGTGACATTTTTTTTTTTTTTTGAATCCGGTACGGACGCAATTGTTCAGTACAGTTCAGTTATATTTCACTTTGAAGTAAAGTTCAGTTGCATTTCACCTTCAAATTGTGTTTATTTATTTATATTGATTGTACTTATGCTTAAAAGTAATCATTTTTAAGCACACCTCTACTATTTGTCCCATATTTAAAATATACGTTACTAATCATCCTCACGAATAAAGCCTCGGGTTCATTTTTTGATGAACACTTTGGCCTATTACGCTACGGTATTTCACTATCAGTCAAGATGGTGGCACTTGGTGTAAAACATATATGAGAACCACTGCTTCACTTTTCAGGTGAAAAAGGAAAAAATAATGCACTTGCTTTGCCAGAATGTCTCGGAAAAAGTGGAGGACTTTTGCTCCCACTGGTGTGGAGCCGGTCCTGCGCTGACAGGCTGACATCATTTAACCGCCGCCCAAATGCACTTAGAGGGGCCATTACTTTGAATATGGTGATGTGGATGGGAGTCAGGGCCTCGGTAATGTGATCACCGTGTCACATTATGTGCCGTTCCAGGCACGTACGTGGCGGGCTCAAGAGGACCTCGGGGGCTCAGCTGGCACTGCCACACGCGCTCGTACACGCCATCTTGACTTACACAACTTGCTTTGTTTCATCGGGACTACTTTACATACGCACATACACACGCTTATCTTTATATCCGATTTATTTCAAAGCAAACCTATCACAGCGTGAACACAATGTCATCCATCATTAAAACCTCATCTTGCAAATGCAGCAGACATGAATATTGTAATCGACCCAAATGAGGACAACTTCTACTTGTCATTCGAACAATAAGAACAATGAAAGTAAAATCATGTACCACGTCAACATGTAGAGACAGCGTCAGACTCCAGTGCCAAAATATTAGGTTCACAATCTAATGACATTCAAGGGAACACCAGACACTCGCAGAATGAAAATATGGTCCAGTTGACTTTTACCTTTGTCAAATGCTAACATATGGACTGCCAAATCAAAAACAAATGCAGACCATTCAAGTCAACATTTTTTCAAGTTTTGGGTGTTCATATCAAGATCAAACTTTTACCCCTGCCAGAGAATCAAAGATGGTACAATCCATTTGCACCATGCTAACATTTGGATCATTTTTCATCCATTGTTTTGGGTGTTTGAGTCACAGCAAAACCTTTTTGTCGGACCACAATTAAAAATTCTACCATTGTTTATACTACACTCTTGTCTTATCACATGCTAACATCTGAACAGCTAGTTAACAACACGATAAAATTATATTCCTTTTTTTCCCCTGGTGTCGGAGTCACAATGAAACCACTTGCCCGCGTCAAAAGTCCTTTTGTCTTACACACATTGCATCACATTTATTCTCAAATTCTTAAAATAATGTAATTTTGTATTCCAGTCACAATAGAAGTGAACTCCCCGATACAGAATAAAAGATTCCGTTGATTTACATTTGTTACAAACTGACATACAAACTGCTAATGAACAAACATGTCACGCCACAAAATTTTAAATCTACTTTTAGGAATGTATTTTTGTAGTTTTGCGTTTAGGTCACAGCCAGACTTAAAAATGGTACAGTCCGATTGACTGACTTTTATCACATGCTAACATGCGGACAGTTAGCTAACAACACGATAAAAATATATTCCTATTTTTTTTTTCTGGTGTTTGAGTCACAATGAAAGCGCTTGCAGATGAAAATACGATCGTCCTTTTGTCTTAGGCTTGTCACATGCTAACATGCTAACCGATATGATGACTACATTAATCCGCTCATTGTGATTGACCATTTTTACTACTACTCAGTAATGTACAATTTTATGATTTATTTTTGTTTGCATCTGGCTAGCTAACATTTTTTTCTGCTTTTTATAGTCAGTCAAAATGCTATTTGAACAAGTTGTTGAGAGCAGACTTGACTTGAAATACAAGCAGATTGCTCACCTCATGTCACTTTACAACGCGCAGCAGTTTGGCAAACAGTCAACACATATTTCTAAAAACAGGTCTCAAGCTGTTTATTGCCATTTCCACCTGACGTTTACTGTCAAACTAATCCTAAAACCAAACCACTTTATGTACTTAAAACAACCACAAAGCTGAGCCTTTCAGTCTGCTAACTTGATGCTAATTAGCATGTATGTTGCGGCACAATAAACCTTGAAAGCAACACATTGAACACAAACATTGCAGCAACACACGTAGAAGGACAATAACAGTACTCAGTCATGTTCTTTATCCTCTGCAAAGAATGACTAATATTAATGCTGTACTGATGAGCTAATGAGCAGTATATTCATTTCTCTGTCTTATAGTGCCTCCAGGTGGCTAAGGCTCTTTAAAATGGATGTTAGAATAATTTTGCTTTATTGGTGGGGCTTGATGGCATTTCCTTTCATTTCAATGGGAAAAAGAGAAATGACTTGAGTTGAGTTGAGACTTAAGATACGAGTGGTCATGGAACGAATTCAACTCCTATCAAGACAATATTAAAATATTAAACATTGCATTTTAGATTTAAAATTGAGTGGTTTCTTTTTTTCCTTTGGTAAAATCACTGTTGTTTATTCATTTTTTAAAATTTATAAGCGAAAGTAAATCGCCAATGTAGGCGGCACCATCTTTAATCTTGCCACATCCGAAACAGCAGCATTCAGCTCTGTTTTTTTCTTTTGTCTACTTTAAGCAGCGAACCTCCCGGGAGCGGACCTTCCGCCGACGTCTCATTCAACGCTCAATGGCGGCAAGGCGGAGACGTTGTGCGGTGGATCCGGTCAGGCTCTCGACGGGGTCGGCGGTGCTAAGCTGGGTCTGGTGACCGCGGTGGCGATCCGGGGAAGGCCCGGGCTGCCGGTGTAGGAGGAAGAGGCGCTTGGCGGCGGAGCGGTACTTGCGCGACATCAGGTTGTAGACCACCGGGTTGATGGAGGCGCTCAGGTAGCAAAGCACCATGGAGGCCATGTTGAAGTTCTGGCTCAGCATGGCCGTGTCATAGTCGTCCACCTGGGCGAACAGGTTGCGGCCGATGTGGTAGGGAAGCCAGCAGATGATGAAGGCCAACACCACCACCACTAGGGGGGGCACACACAAGAAATGGGAGGTTTGGTTTTCGAGTCGGCCCAATTCATCGATTTACATGGCGGATATTAAGGACTTCTTTTGACATTGGCAAAAAAACTAAACAAACCAAAAAAAAAAAAAAAATCACCAGGTTTTTTTTTTGTGGGGTCTTTTTTGGGGTCGGCGGGGGTTGAATGTTGACATCTTTGTCTCATGTTGTACTGTACTGTATTAATGTGTACAAAAAAAAAACTCCTCAAAAAAAAAACGTTCGACTTTTTACAGCCAATATTTCTGAGTGGAAATGTTTGAAAGTTATTATCTTTGTCCGATGTTGTAATGTGTTAATGCTTATTTTCCAAAAAGTTATCAAGAAAAAAAAATCCGATTTATGGAGGGTGTGGTTTTTGAGTGCGGTTATCAGATTTTTGTTTGCTTTGCCACGCGGCCGTGTGAAAAGCTTTCTTCAAGCTGCAAACGTTCCTTGAAAGAGATTTACTGCCCATGTGGCGTTACGCGAGCGTAACAAGGGCGGACAAGATTAGAACAGAGTGAAAATCGTCGTTAGCTTTGATCGATGCTCATTCGTGCGGGGCGATCCAATTGGACGATCGGACGCCATCAATATTCTCGCATGAGGCCATGACAATATGAGAAGAACAAAACAAAGGCATAAAGATGCCGTCACGTTGCTTCTACGGAGAACAATTAGCGCGCGCGCTCGCACTCACGCACATCAATCAGTGCGTGTGACAGGACAAAGTGGAATCGGGGAGACACGAAGACAAAGGTTGACAAATTACTAGAGACCAACAACAACAACAACAATAACAGCCAACAAACCCAACCACCTTTTGAAACATCACCTCTGGCTTGAAACCCGAACACTGTCTAGGAACCCTACTCTGACACCCAAACTCTTGTTTGATACCCTATCTATGACTTTAAACCATCATTTGAAGGCGTGACCATGTCTTGAAACCCTATTTTGAATCACCAACCCTGTCCTGGAACCTAATTTGGTACCTTAGCCCCCCATTTGAAACCCTATTTTGTGTTTATGCTATATACTTACACAAATTTGAGATTGAAATTGGCCGCGATAATCAACCTAATTTATATTAGTCTGCCACCAACATGGAGGATTTGTTGAAAAGAAACCAAAAAAAAAAAACAAGGTCACAAAGTATCACATTCACTCAGTATTAGTCTTTTCGGAATACGCCATTCCGTCTCCAGGGGCGAATTCTTGAGCATATCCGCTCACCAAGAATCTTGACGGTCTGCCTGTGCGAGCGTTCCCTGGCGAGCGCGCCGGGTCCCCTCAGGTCGGCCCGGCTCCTCCACAGCTTGAGGCCGATGGAGCCGTAGAGAAAGACGAGGCAGAGCATGGGGCACAGGAAGTAGCCGGTGGACACCCACAGCATGATGTGGAGCCTGCCCGAATGGATGGCGTCGTCCGTGTGCTTGCACTGGCCGCCGCGCGCCCCCGTCCCGTTGTCGTACTCCACGCCCACCAGGAAGAGCGTGGGCGTGGAAGAGGCCAGGGCGAAACCCCACAGGGCGGCAATGATGTAGTGGACGCGGCGTTTGGTCACCAGGACCTTGGTGCGAAGCGGGAAGCTGATGGCCAGGTAGCGCTCCACGCTCAGGGCAGCGATGTGTAAAATGGTGGCCGACGTGCAGCCCTCGAAAACGTAGTGGTAGAGCAAGCACACGGCCTCGCCGAACAGCCACGGGACGTACTTCCACAGGCGGTAGAGGTCAAAGGGCAGGCACAGAAAGATGAGCAAGTCCGACACGGCCATGCTGGACAGGTACAGGTTGGTGGTGGTCTTCATGTCCTTGAAGTGCTGGATGATGAGGATGGTCATGGTGTTGCCGGCCACGCCCACCACCAAAATGGCCACGCAGATCACCGTCACGGGGATCAGCGTGGAGGTGGGGAACAGGGAGCCCTCGTAGTGGTGGTCGCCCACGTCGCCGACGCCGCCCGGAGGGTCGGACGTCTCGGCTGACTGGAGCTCCACCTGGGGTCTGGTCCAGGGCATCCTCACTTCTGATGTATGCAAGAAAATACATGACTGAGGTGCAATGCCGTGATCAAAAAAAACAAAACAAAACGCAATGCTGCAAAATCAGCAATTTCTTTGAGTTTCGATCTCGAAAGTCTACACACTCTTGTTCAAATACTATTGGTCATTAATGTGACCTTTCACCTCTAGCACCCAAGTAAACATTTTTGTACATTTGTTGTGTAAATAAAAGTCCTACCTTTAAGAAAAAAAATAAAAATACAGATAAATAAAAAATTTAAAATAAATAGTCAGAAACAGAAACATGAATAATATGAATAAAAACCTCACTGAAACATCTTTTAAAAAATGCAAAATTTAAAAAAAAATCATAGCAATTGGAAAAAATGAAACTACATGAAAACGTATCAAAATGAAACAATGAATGTTACATGAAAAAAATACTAACATTTAAATAATGACCCAAGCACAATATGACAATAGTATGAATAATAACAAGGAAAAGTACCCACTGGCCACACCATTTGGTATTTTATTACCCTGGCAAAACAGGACACTTCATTAGGTACATCTTCACAATCTTCACGATGACATCCGTCAATGCAAATCTGCCTTTACAAATAAACTAATAACAATAAATCCCGGCGTAAGAAACGATTTTACCTGTAAAATCCAAGAAAGGATCTCGACTTGCAGTCCGGCCACAAAGGACGATTTGGATGATCTGGCGGCAAGAGCAAAGAACAGCTCCTCCTCCTCCACCTCCTCCTCCTCCGAAAGGGGAGCTTGTCCCCTAATTGAATGATGACAATGGGAGGAAGTTAACAAGCACGTGTAGGAGGAGACTATGCGAAATCAGCTTACTAGGACGCTCTTTTTCCACACTTCGAAACACAATTCAGCGCACTTGAAGGATACGGAATAAAGCTCTTTTTGTCCATTTATCCTTTTTGTCATCGAAATGGTGATAAAAGGTATATATTGAGTGAAATTCATATTGAAATCAAGGTTTAGTTTGAAATGATTGCACTTGGCACTTATCCTGATTCATCAGTGCAACACTGGGCCAATTCCCCTTTCCAAGATGGCTGCGCTCATGAAACCACACTGAAGCTTCCCAGAAGGTGAGCTTCAGAAATTGACAACTACCATCTCATTAATATCTTTCATGAAAAAATTAAGCGATAAATGCAAAATAAATGCTCTTAATATATTTCATGTTTGATCATCCATTTCTCAAGACATGTATAAAAAAAATCCATTATCCTAACCCAACTACAAAGGGTTTGAAGGAAACAAAAAAAAAAAAATTTTTTTTTTTAAACCATAAAAATGACCTTTCAAGGATGGCACAAAAGTGCTGAACAAGAAAGATTAAGCACAAAAATTCATTTTTGAATTCACTCTTATGTTTTATTCTTGAGGTGTTGTTTTGGCTTGCATAACATTCCCACGCCGCAAAAAATTATTCATGTTGTAGTATAAGGCCGCGTAAAACTCAGTCTAAGTGCAACTACAATACATCTGCCATCTAGTGGCAAATGCTGACATTACCATTTAAAACCACAGTCAACCATTGCATCATTGTCATATAAACTACCAAGCTATGACCCCCCAACCCCCACTTTATTCCAGCCATAACCCTTAAATTGACTCTCGTGCAAAACAACCCAAAACGGAGTTAGCCCACTATAGTTCTCCCATGTCTTACGGACAAGGAGCGCACTAGTCCCTGGACGTTGAGGTGCAACTCCATCTGATGGAAGACCAGCATCGTGGTTATCCGTCCCCCTTCCTCATCATCGTCGCCTCAGCCTGGTGACAGCTGCGTGCAAACTGACCGAAAGCATCCATCACGTGACATCTCCTTGTTTTGCTGGTCCCGTTAGATATGCTACTCAAGCAGGGACTAAAGCTTCCCTTTTAAGTGCATCGTATGGTCCGAAAAACACTGGAGAGGTCATGGCTCTACCAAGCGGTTAAAGTGGAAAATGCCAGAGGTCAAGCCTTTGAATTTTCATATCAAGACAAAAAAAAAAAAAAAGACAAATTTAAGAATAATAAATCTTTTATTGTGCATGGAATTTGTTGTAGATATCATGACTATACATATACACGTTAAATACATTTCTATGATTCCATTCCATTTCCCCGCCCACATAATCAACATTTGGAAAGTGATATGTCTCGTTAGCTAAGTATGTATCGGATAACAAATTGCCATTTTTGGAATGTATGCTCAATGAGGTATAACTGCAAAGGTTAAAATAACATAAAAATGGTTGTTTCTCCATCGATGTGCATATTTTTAAATATATATCTTGGGGGGGGGGGTCGTTTTTTTGCTTTCATCTCTCCAAATTGATCAGGTGATGTTTGAATGCCACAAGTTGCTATCAAACGATAGACGGCGAGCGAGAGAGGACGTCTGAGGACTAAATCGACACATTTTCTTTTTTGCAAGGTACCAGTGGATTTTTTTTTTATTTTAGTAATATAGTTGCAATTTTCGGAATGAAGACAAGAATAGCCTGAAATGTTTTTGATTACACAGAAATCAAAATAACGTGACGGTTGGGGTGCACGCGGCAAATCGTTATTCTTCTCGACTTATATTATCACATGATATAAAAAATAGATTATATATATTTATATATATACTTCACACGTAACCCTGGACGAGCCAAAAGTAAAAACGACAACAACAAAAAAAAAAGTCAAACGAAACACGCACTAACAACTACGGTGTTTCTTCTCTTAACTGACGGAAAATAAAAGGTAGCGAACAAACCAAAAAGAATAAAAAAAACAAAAATGAAACCTCAACATGAAATGAAACCTCAACATGAAATTAAATCTTCCTCAATAAGGCCTCGGAAACCACACCTTTTTATTTTTCTTTATTTCTTTTTTGCTCAGTTGTTTCAGCGATGCCGACTTTTTAATTAATTTATTTTTTAAAAAGTGTTAGTGGCGTAAAATGCCAACCCGGATGCAGTCAGCCAAGGTTTTTGTTTTCCTTTCCCTAAGGTGCAAAAAAAAAAAAATAAATAAAAATAAAAAAAATAAAAACAAAAAAAAAAATAACCCATCAAAAACAGCAAAAGGGAAGCGAACATTTTTTGTGCTGAACAAGATTTCCGTAGTCAAGCAGCTGCTGCGCCATTGTAAAATTAAGCTACATTATCATGATCACGGGAGTAAAAAATAGTTGGATTTGCTGTTTGCTTTCTATGTTTCTCCAACGTTTGAACCCCAAACCATTTTTTTTTGTCATCCTCTGCCGCCGTCGCTGTACAAAAATAGGATTTCTCTGCTCACGTTTTTTACATCCTTCAACATTCGCCACATGAACGAAAAGAAAAACAGAAAGTGCTCAATCATCTTCCTACAATATGGATTTTTGTTTTGGATAGATTTGGGGAGGATTTAGTTAAAAGTCCCTTCATGTGGTCCTCAAGCCTTCACTGTGCAAACTCACCAGGCAGGTCACGCGGATACTACACCCACGCAAAAAAAAAAAAAAAAAAAAAGATTCAAAGTGGAAACAACTACAAATCTAAACCGTACTCGCAAAAAGTTGGGGATGTTGGGCTTTTCATGATGAGCCGAAAATGAAAATGCACTACAGTGATTGTCAATTCAGTTGCGTTGAACTTTAAAGTTCAATGCATTTTGCATTTATTTTGGTGCGATTGTGATTGATGTTGGTCACTATGGTGATAAATTGGAGAGTATTTTTGATTTAAATTTTTTTTTATGAAAAAAGTTTGACAACCACTGTACTCTAACTTTTAGAGGTGAACTTAATTTGAGTTGTCATTAAGTGTTTGAAAAATCCCCCTAGTGCCTTTCTGTTCCTCCTCCAGTCTCTGACACATTTTTATATATATATATATATATATAAAATTCTCCCTAACGCCATTTTATAAAAAATTTTTTTGTGACCCACTGAAGCAAATCAACTAAGCTATCCAGTAGTTTTAGAAAAAAATTCCATCAATTAATGGAATTTTTTTTAAAATTTGGTATAGTTTCATGATATAACAAAGCCAAGTAAACGACAGCTAGGCAATAATCACAAGATTAATGCAAAGGAACAATTATCAAAATAGGTATCAATTAATTTGATAATTAGTGCTGCCCCTTTACAATCGAGAGCGTCTACTTCATGTTTCTGACTAAATGGATTTGTTCGTTTTGATTTGGGGCAAAAAGTCTGGATCAAAATTGAAAATGTTCCCCCACCAACTTCCATCCGGTACCTCATCGTTCATGTTCCATGACGTGTGATTTCCAACTCCATTTGTAGTTCAAACACTGGAACAACAACAAGTACCGGGTCAACTCTGTATGTTTAACCATACGTTGAGATAATTCGACAATGATGCAAACAACTGATATGTTTGACAATCCTGGTCGAATGTCAGCGGCCTCATCAGCGACACAGAGACTGGAGCAGTCACAGAGAGGGGTAAGTGGACCCAAATTTTCAACCTTCGAGGCCAAATTAAGTTACCTTGAAGGTTATTTGTGCATTTTACAGTCGTCCCGTTATTTCACTCAATAGCCCAAATTTTTTGCGGAGCAATGAACAATGTGCATACTGTGTGTGACAAGAAGCTCCCCACTCGCCCTGCCAGTGGGGGAGCGGAAAGAGGAGGAAAGTGTGAAAGGGTGGACAGTAAAGCTGTAATAACCGTGGTGCCCTGTTGGGGGGGGGGGCGCTCATTTGATGACAAAGTACTGGATGACGAACGCGATGAGGATGGCGATGACGGCGAACACCATGAGGAGCAGGAAGGCGCACTGCTCGTCCGTCAGGCTGTGTCCGGCCCGCCCGGACGTCGAGGAGGAGGACGACGGCGAGGAGGCGGATGAGGACGTGGACCTGGATGAGGAGGAGGAGGACGCCGAGGCGGGGCCGTCTCCCCCCCGCTGGACGGCGAGCGTCACGGTGGGGCTGTAGGGCCCGCTCAGCTCGGGCGCGTCCTGGCACTGGCGGATGGCGCACACCCGGAAGCGGTAGTCGCTGTTGGGGTGGAGGTGCTGCACTGTGAAGCACGTGCCGGGACCTTTGTACGCCTGCCCAGGAAGGACCAGGAGACCGGTTAGCGACAACCGCAGAGCTAACTGAGGAATTTCAATCCATAAATAAATAAAGAGTAATATCAAATGTAGTTAAAAAAAAAAAAAAAAGGAACGACATTTGGTAAATCTCAACTGTCAGAACAGAGTTGTCGAATAATTTGCCAACTGAACGTAGACATTTATGTGACATGCATTCATGACTGTGTACATGTAAGATGTGACCGATTCTCCATTTTAAGAGATTTGTGGCCATTTTGAGGCATCGATGGCTAATTGCAAACTACTTTTGCGGTATTACCAATTACTATCCCTGCAAATAAGAGTTCACAAATGACAAGTTAAGTGCCAAAACCAGATCAAGTACAACATTTTTTAAGTATGTAAGGACATTTGAAAATAGTAATAAATTATACAAAGTAATGAATACAAAACATTTATTCTTTTCCTTCTGACCACCACATACACACTACGCCTCTCTGAGGAACATTGCACACGTGAATCCACTGAGAAGGCAAAGCCAGATGTACACATGCCACTTCCGCTCGCTTATTTGATCCCCTTTGACACTCGCTTCGGCCATACGTCACGGAGAACGGCAGCCTTTTGCATAATGGACAACTCACAGCGCGCGAGACGAATGTGAGGATGAGCGGAAGAGCGCGCGCACCTGCTTGAAGTCCGAGTTCCCCATCATGAACTGCAGAGCGTAGGCGACTGGGTCGCCCTTCATGGGCAACTGCGCCTCCCAGCTCACCTCGCAGGAACTGTCATCCACGCGCTCCACCTTGGGGGCTACGCCAGACAAAAGTTCGTTCAAAGGTCAAATCGGACACGGCGATGTCCGATTTGAGAGAAGAACGTGACAGAGAAAATGTTGCATGAGGGAGATGAGGGCGGGCAGCCAGAGCGCGAGCAAGCTTACCTTTGAGGGGGGCCGGGGGAGAGCGCGGGGTGGTGAAGGTGTAAACAGCGGACAAGGGCCCCGAGCCCGCCTCGTTCAAGGCCTGGATGCGGAACGCGTACGAGGTAGACTCATTTAGCCTCTGCACTTTGTGGGTGTGGCAGGTTCCTTCATACAAGGAGATAAATCTGCAATGACAACAAGCATAAAGAGCATGAGAATGGCAACGCTCGCCGAAAACAGAATGCGCGGTCGTGGGGTACAGCTAAGGACTACATCTAAAGGATCGCAAGGTCGCCATCTTCTCGAATAAACCTGCAACCTGTTATTATTCATGGGGCGGAGGAGTCGAGACATTTCCTGAAAGTCACCTGGGAACCGTTTTAAGTCAATCTGTCGTGGTATGCGGCGTTACAACGGACAGACCTGCCACTCTTGTCCTCCATCTGCAGGTGATACTGGAGGGCGTCTGAGGCGGCGGCTTTGGCTGGACCGTCGCCCCACTTGAGCCTGAGGGTGTGGTGGCTGAAGGCCGTGCACTCCAGGCGGGGCGGCTGCGGGGGCAGGGGCTTGGTCTTCAGCTTAAAGGTGTGACTAAAGGGCCCCGCGCCCAAGCAGTTCAGGGCCTGGATTCGGATCCTGAAGGATAAAACACAGTCCCGATATTTTATTTCTGTGCAACCAATCCTCAATGGACAAAAAAAATACAGCCAGAGAGTAGAGGGTGTGTACCTGTAGCTGGTGTCGGGTTGCAGGTTCTGGATGACGTGCTTTGTGACGGGGCCGACCACGACGGGCTGGCGTTCGCCCAGGTCGATCAGGTAGGATGTGATCTCCGAGCCGTGGTCGCAGGGGGGGTCCCAGCAGATCCCCACGCAGGTGGATGGCGAGTAGAGAGGCGGCGGCGGTGGCCGGATGCATTCGTCCTCATCTTCCTCCTCCTCTTCCTCCTCCTCGTCAGGAACGCCAAACCTGGTGAGCTCAGACTCCTTCATCACGCAGATGTTGCCGACGGCGGCGGGGACCGAGCAGGGGGTCAGGCACAAGACCGCCTCGCTGAAAGGGCCCACGCCCGCCACGTTCAGAGCCTGGGAAGACGCGAAACCACTTTTGTCCACAAGATGGCGATACAATTTAAGGGAAGTTCTCAAAAGCTTTTCTTGCCGTTTGCCACGTCACGGTTTTCCACACAATTAAGCAACAACTTGCAATCATTTGGCACGGCACACCGATGAGCTCTCAGGTCCCAATTCTGTGCCATACATGTTCTCTCCTCGTACCTGTACCCTGCAAAAGTAATTGGTGGCGGGTAGCAGGCCCTTCATCTCGTGGCCGAGGGCTGCTCCGCTGTAGCAGACTTGCATGGAGCCCTCAGCGGCCCCCCACTCCAGACGAAACTCTGTCACCGGAGCCCCGTTGCAAGGTGGGGCCTGGAAGGGAGAAATGAGATTCAGTGGTCATCGGGCTCATTCGTAACGTCACCACAGAATGTCATCAAGGACACTTGAGTATGAAGTGGAAGAAGTTGTTGTGTGCCTTTTTATCAAAGATGCAGGGGCTTCTATTTGGTGGGGAAACACATTGGATGGTATTTGTGTGGCCTTACCTCCCAGCTGACTACAGCACAGCTGGGTGATTTGCACGTGATGGAAGGAGCTTTGCACTGCTCGGGGGCCCCGGGGCCGGTGGTGACATCATAGCGTTCAGAGAGAGGCCCAAACTGTTCCAAAAAAAAAAAATAAATGTTTTTTTTCAAATCATCATTTTAAATTTATCTGTATATAATTTTTTTTTTTTTAAAAACGCTTTACCCCTTCCACACCATGTAAACACCTTGCACCGACACCTTTTGAACCCATTGCAAATACATTCGACACACAAAATAAAAGGCAAGCATAAAATAAGTGTCTCACCCCGGCCTTGTTTCCAGCCTTGAGCCGGAAGCCGTAGGTCCTGCCGGGCATCAAGCCCCCCACGGAGCAGTCCAGCTCAGGACCCTGGTAGACCTCCCTGCTCTCCTCCGACTGCGGCCCGCTCAGCTCCACGCTGTAGCACGACACCGGGCTGCCGCCGTCCACCTGAGGCGCAGCTGGGGACAAATGAAATGGAAACATGATCAGTATAATAACAATAATAAGGTGAAATTGTAAACATTGACAGTGGAAGCCATTTTGTGGGCCGAAGGCAAACCAATTCATGAGACCCTCCGCAACCACATGAAAACATTTCCTCCAGTCCTCGAGTTTTCTTCGAGCCACTTTGTCCTGTTTTTGAAATCAGTTGCAATTCTCCAATACTGTTTTTTTTTGTTCCACTTCTCCAGTGAATAATATTTCGCTAACACCATAGATTTCGATTATTGTTTATCACCAACAATGAAGTGTGAATTTCAGAAAATCCCCCAATTTCCTGAGCCCTTCAAATCCTTCTTAGGGGTTTATGATCGCATATTTAAAACCGCACTGACAGCTGTGTCGTGCGGCAGCCTTCCTGAATCAAGTCTGCAAAAGCGCAGTGAAAAGGTGGGAGTGGGAGGGCAGTCAAAACAATCACAACAGATCAATTTTAAAGTGTGCGAATTAAGATTACCGCCGAACTGCTTTAAAAATCAAAGAACACTATTTAAAAAAAAAAAAAAATTCACCAGACTGTGAGGCAAAATGTGCCAATTATTATTATTATTATTATTATTATAATTACAAGACCACCATGCTGCCCCCTTCAGAGAGTTTCCAGAGCTTCATGCAACTGGTCAAGAAAGTGCGGACTATATCCCACGCTCCAAAAAGCAAACGACTCACCCCAGCGGAGCTGCAATTCGCGGGCTTTGGGCTTGCCTACCAATCGGGGGGGTTGGCAGGGCCCTGGGGGCACCGCGGGAGTCTGGACCTGCAGGGTCTCCGACAGCTTGCGTAGGGAAACAAGAAACAATTTGATGATAACAAATTCAAAATGCCAACCAACCTTTTTTTCAGCACTCGCACAGCAAATCATTAGCACGGGTTCAGGACACAGACTATTATTTTTTTGTGCTGCCACCCCCTCTACCCAAGACGAAATGCCATGGCAAACATGCAAGCGTGATGTCAGCCGCTTGCCACCGTGAGTCATGCTTCCTTGCAAGGCCACTCATGAATAAATGCACGCGCTACCGGCCGACGCACAAATTAACGAGGAGCATCTGCGTAGGAGACTAATTAAGGAAAAAAAAAGCCTGGGAGGTTTCATCAATTAGCAGACTTAGTCTTGATGATGAGTTGTCGCAGTACTCAACAAAAACAGGCTGAATTAATGGACATTTTCATGATGTTAGCTTCCTGGAAATACATTAAGATGAATGCTAATGCTGATCATACTTTCTTGCCTCGATTCACTGGAAGCAACAAATGTCGTCTCTGGAAATGTGTGGCTCGCAATTTCCCCTTACAGGTGTCTTTTCTGTGGAACTTCTTATCTGTTTATTGAACGGGACACTTACACAACCACAACAACAAAAGTCCGGCATGTCAGAATTTCTGTTCGTCTTGCCGCGTTGTGTGACACGTCCTATGTTGATTGGTTCTTTGGCATTGACCAATAGGAACACGGTGCCCTCCCTACTTCTGACGAGAGACTGGACATGGTGTACACAAGCACAATGTAAACTATTTAAAAAGTGACTTCCAAAAAAAAAAAAGTCAAGCATTCGTAGCATTTCAACTCATGCTACGTTTGCTAACTGCAAAGCTCATAGCTGATGAGCAAATGCCATGTCATTCAACCAATTTGTTACCTCAATTTCTTTTTGGATATTTTTTCCCCCCTCACCTTTTCTGAACATAGAAACAATGCAGATGCACCTATAATGCCTCCGTCAACATGACGACAGCTACTCGTCACGCCTCCCGACGGACCTGCGCCAATGGATTGAGTCTTGACGGAAGCACGCAAACATTGGCCGGGGTCTGGTCGAGGGCTGACTTATAGTTCGACATCTCGCCCGGTCCAAGACAATGATATTTATGTGGTAGTCTGCACCAATGTCGTGAACAACAGTAATGTGTAGTTTGAGAAGGCCAGACGTGTATACATTCACTACCATCTGGAGCTGCCAGACAGCTCAGCACAGATTAAAATAACACTGCCGTAAATCCCGTTTCAAGACTAAATTACAAACATGAAAACGCTAATAATAGCTGCCCCGACTTACACATCATCAAACCCTTTTTCCTCACTGCGGCGCCATTGAAATAAGCAGCTACGCAAACCCGGGAGAGTGAAAAGGTGTGCGTCTATGAATGACTCACCGGGCTCTGCCCCCCCTCGCTCATACAGTACACTCTCGTCTGGTAGGAGCAGCCGGGCTTGAGACCATCACACAGGTGCTCCGTGGCCGGGCCCGAATACACCAACTCCCACGACAAACCTGAGCATACATAAATAAGATGATGTGAAAACTTCCGAGTTGGAGCCCCACATCGCCACCAATAAAAAGGCTTTTTTACTCACCGCTTAAACCCTCCGACATCTCCGCAACATACTTGGTGACATCCGCTCCGCCATTTTCTTTAGGGGGCTCTAAAACAAAAAGGGCAAATGTGAATAGTGTCCGACTGGGTTCACATTTTGCCAAGCGATGCGCACCCCAGGCCAACTTGAAGCTGTTGGGCAGAACTTTGCCCTTGATGACGGGCTTGGAGGGATAGCTGGGTCTGTCCGGTTTGGTGATGAACTCCACCACCGGGCTGGGGTTACTCTTGCCTTCCGAGTTATACGCCGCCACCTGGACAGGACAGCAGGGTGGGAGTGAGGCATTGAGGCAAAGACGAGCGTAGGATTACGGAGCTCCTACTGTGAGGAGGTGAAGGCTTTCTCAACGTTAGCAATGAAGCGCATCGTGTTGTCAGGACAGCGCCAACCACATGCGGCACACTTGCAATTCAAACGAGCCCACCCAAGCAAGCGGGACGCATTGAAATGAAATGACGGGCTCATGCTAACGAGGAGCACAACAATGCGCTCGACTTCCCGGGACGCTAATAAAAACGGTGCTGTTGACAAGGTGGTGATGAGCAGCAGGCTAGCGGCAGGATGCTCCCGTTTAGTGGCCCGCTGCCACAAATGCTGGTAAACTGGGATGACTCACAAAGATGCCGCCGGGGGCATCGGCAGCTTCCATGCCCCGGGCTCACACCAAGCACCCAACCCCTCAAAAAACCCTTTCAGATTCACCTTTTGTCACACTCACCCATACTCATTCACTCTCACATGCTCCCTCACTCTCTTGTTGACAGACCTTTGCGCCGGCCTCGCTCTCTCCGCACGCACACGCTTCCAACGAGGGATCACCTGAGTCGCCCTTCCTCATCACCACTATGACGACCACACATCTCCCTTACCCGGAACTTGTACTTGGTGCTCCTGTGGAGGCTTCTGACGCAGCAGGAGAGCTCGTCGCCGTCGTAGCTGGGCTGAAAGCCGTAACCCTGCGGAGCGCGACAAGACAGCCGTCAGGGGAGACACGGCGGCCGGCTGAGTCTTTCAAGACAACAACACCGGTTAGACAAACGATTGGCGGGGTGCGACAGACTGGAAGGGAGCTGTAAGTGCGCGTTTCCAGCAAGTTGCTCCAAGCTGTAAATGTCATGGGAATTAATAAAAAAACAAATTAAAATTACCTTCCCTTTAGCGACAGTGCTAAATGAATTGCTTGAATGGTCAATAACACTTTTTTTCTTTTTTACAACTGCCCATTTTGATGGTTTGGACTGATACTATACCAACCTCTGATCCAAAATTCATCATACAATATTGTGCTTTTAAAGGCATTCTGACCAGAAACATTCGCGACAACATACGCTAACAAATGAGGCTAAACTCAGATGCTCCCTGATATGCGAATATCAAAACAGTCATTGTGTATCACTTTCAAAAACTTCCTTGACACCAATTTCTGTCGCGGTACCTTGGCTTATCAGTCCAAGAAAGCTTTGCTGCTATCTTGTGGGCGCTACAGGCAATTAAAAACCTTTTTTGTGCGAGCGCCAATTACTGACAATAGATTGAATTTGTTTTGTTTTTTTTTTTGTTTTTAAGAATGAATGAAAGGTTGCTGCGGGGTAGTACAAACGCCAACTAATTGGAAGAGGTAGCGATGGCACCCTGCCATGAAAAGCGACAAGCTGGCTGCATTGTTAAAAACGGCGTCGTACCGAGCCTTCCTCCTCCATCTCCAGGATGTAGCAGACGTCATCCTCCTTGGGCGAGCTGCTGGGGCGCAGCCACTTAAGTCTCAGCCAGGTGACGCCGGCCATCTCCAACTCGGGAGGGAAGGGCGACGACGGCACACTGCACGAGGTGAACAGCTCCACAGATTCACTGAACTCGCTGCAGAAATGAAAGAACGAGAGGGAGACGGGAAGGAAATGGGACAGTAGAACATGAGTCGTTTTCATCAAAATAAGCAGAAAAGGAGATTTTTAACATCATGCAGAGAAACGTCAAGAAGAAGAGTGACTGATTCTTTTTTTTTTTTTTTTTAAACAAAAACAAGACTGAAACACATGGATTTTGATGGCAAAATCTTATTCACAGCATGAAGATCTTTTCTGACCTACCGTGACACGCACTCCGTTTCTACCACACATACTGATACTCCGTTGGAAGTGCGAGGTGCCTAAACTTGTCCAACTCTAGTGTTGGCATTCATGAGCCGCAAAATCAACGTGGCGAGCTGAGATTAACCACCTATTCTTTATCTTCAACACAAAAGCTGTGCTGATTTCAAATCCAGAGTGCTGCAACGCCAACATCACAGGCATCTGTTTGGCATTAGAGTGGTTTGCAGTGTATGTCACCTACAAGCTGGATGACTCTCTCTTCCATGCCAATCCGATGACATAACAAGCCCGACAAATGCAAGCTGTACCATTTTTTTTGGGACATTTCCTAATCTGTACTTTGCTAACCAGAGTTGAATCAGAACTTTGAACAGTTTATTTTCTCTCTTTTGATGAATGAGATGAAGAAATGATGGAATCCACATAAGGAATATGACCTACCTGACACCCATATCATTTTTGGCCGCGAGGCGGAAGGAGTATCTGGAGGCTGGTGAAAGCTTGGCCACTCTGTACTGCTTCTGAGGTCCATAGTAGCACTGCTCAAATACGCCATTTCCCTTCCCCTACACAGCAAAAGGATTTTTTTTTCTATTACTAACAACTACAAGTGGGAGTAAGAAAGTAGCCTTGAGCTCAACTGTGACGTGAATGGACAAGGTGCACAGAAAATGGACGTTACCAAAAAAAAAAAAAAAAAAAAAAAAAAAAAAAAAAAAAAAAACCCAAGCCTTTGCTTTAACGAGAAACCATTTTCGCACTGCATTCATCAATGTGTGTTGCATTTGAACAGTTATTCTGAAACACGATTACCTCATCCCATTGAAGAATGTAGTTGTGGACCTTGGAACCGTTGTCGCAGGGAGCCTAAAGGAAAAACAAAAGCAAACAAACATGAGGATGGCACAAAGCACGTGTGACAAGCGTGGACAACAACGTTCCCTTGTGGCTCTTGCAGGCTTCTTGAGGTACAACGTAGCAGAAAAGACGCACCCAGCTGCGTGCAGCTTTTTTTTTTTTTTTAAAGTTGCTTTAATTAATCCGCTGAAGGTTTGCTGAGAACGCATGCTTGTTTTGTTTTTTTTTGTGCAAAGCCCGCAAACATACACACCGGCATGCACACACACTTGCTCTTTATAAACACGCTTGCAGATAGACATACACTGACACACGCGCACGTGTGCGCGCACAGACAGGCACACCTGGGAGGCCATCTTTACGAGCGCAGCCTTTTCCCGCTGGCTCAATGGGAACGTTAATTACAGAGGAACCCCACGAAATGGGGCCCCAACAACAACCGCAGGAGAGAGCTGCCGTTTCTCCATATGCTGTTCACTTGCTTCTGCAGCACATGGCCATCGTCTTCTTGTACACGAAGGACTTGGATTTGGATTTGGCAATACTCTGATCAGAATTGAGCATTTGAGTCCATCCATTTGCGCTGTTTAACAAGACTGAGCACTGAGTGGAGATTTAAATTGCTACATTCGGCTCAGCGCTACTGCTTTTGTGTTTTTTGACTACTTCTCGTGTTTGTCTACACAGAATTTGTTATAGAAAGTCAACCGAATTGGAAGCGGATGCCGCACATGTTTCAGTCCTGCCGCGGCGGTCCCCGCACCATTAAAATTGATCAACGTGGTACCTTCCACTGGAGTACGAGAGAGTTCTTGGTCCCGCTGGCTTTCTTGGGAGCACTGGGAGGTTCCGGCTCACAGCTTAGCGTGGTGAAGCTCACGGCTTCCGACGGGCTTCCCTGTAAACAGTTACACATGGCCTGGACCCTGAAGGCGGGGAGAGATCCAAAGACAGGTTAGCCAAAATGTTCGGCCATCTTCAAGACAGTCTTATGGCTGACCTGACGTGATAGTCTGTTGCTGGTCGAAGGTTCTCTAGAGTTGTACTTAGCTCCTCGCCACTGAAATGAAAATAAAATAAACCTGTCAGAATACAGTATGTGTGTAAAGGACCTTTGGCATGTTCAAAATAAACGTTTTTCCGAACCATACGTGAAAAAGAATTTTGGAATTCAGCGAGTCGTGAATTCTGGGCTGCCTCTGTATGAAGGGTGGTGACATCACTCACCAGTACATGCTCTTGTACTTGCCATCCTTGCCGCTAAATGAGACAGACACCTCATAGCTGAGGGCCCCCGTGGGGGTGCTGTCGTCCTCCGTTTTGGGTGCGCTCCAGCTCGCCTCGACCGCCCGGGCCTGGATGTCTGACACCTGCCACATGTACACCAACAGGAGCCATCGGTGAGAACGTGTTATCCGGCAGGCAGGTGTGTAAACAGCGTCTGTTACAAGTGTTCACAGCTGGATGAGCTTCAATTCACACCAGAAGTCAAAAGAATAATCCTCGGTATAATTTCAAATGTAAAATATGTGCCTTCGCTCAAGAAAGGCTGGGAAACAGCGGACTACACTTTGTAAGCGTGCGTACTGCAGTGCCCGGTAAGTACCACAGTCTATATATTGTAACGACGCCGTGAGGCCACCTTTCAGACTAGAATTTGAAGAGAGAAGCACTGTGACAGCCACACGATTGCATTCAGTCTCTTTTGAGGAGACTTAAAAATAGCCTGTGCTCCATCCACGGGGCCCATTGACAAAAGGCGGAGGAAGTGTATCAGGTCGAGTCCCTGAGCACCCCAGGGGGGGGCCCACCTTACTGCATTACACCTCACCGTTTCGCATCACGGTCCTTTAACCAAACCTGTGTGGCGGCAAAGAGGCGAAGAAAAGAGGAAAAAAAATCCCTCTTTGTATCCAGCCTGAGACTTGGGGGTTTATCTGGTCATTTTGAAATGGACTCCCTTTTGCTCCGTTTACAAGGAGCTCAGAGGTTTGTACTGCACATTTTATGAGGTCAAAGAAATTCTATTTCAGGGCTAATCCCCCATTCAGCACTAGCTAAAACAGTCATTTTCTCTTTTTAGTTTTGTTGCCCTGGAAGGACCCCCCGCCGCTAAGACTCTCTTGGAAAAACAAAAAAAAAAACAAACAAAAAGTCTTAAGTCATACGCTACTGTTCACACCAAGTTAACTGCTCGCGTCTTTCAAACTATGATGTAAAGAAAAACAGCAACAGTGTTTGAAAGAATCGGAGCATTTTGCCTCGACGATACGAGCAGCAAGTCATTTTCACATATTCATCTTAAAAGGAAACCCCTCATGTCGACACATCAGGGAGCAGGAAATTCCCACGAGTGTGCGCGTCAGCAGGTCGGACTCCATTAGTCGGGCGTCGGCGGGAATTCATTGCCGGTGTTAATAGGACGTTTAATGACGCCATGCATTTGCATCATTAGCCTTCTCTCGCGTACGTACTGCTGATGGTCACATAAAAACATGCAAATCCAAGCAAATTGAGGGCAGAGCAAAACATGAGGGAAGAGGGAGGGCATACGTACCACCGGTTTACTGATGGTGCTCAGCAGCGCTTGCAGGGCTTGTGTTGCTGCATCCAGCTCTGGGGACACAAAAAATATATATAAATGTACAAAAAAAAAAAAAAAAAAAATCTTTTTTGCTTCTGATTGCAATGGTCTTTTGGAAATACTGTGCAGTAAATCTGCAACTGTAAATCTTAAGTGTCTTGGGATCATGATTTGTCGATTTACACTTGAGACTACTAATCAAGGGCAATGTAAACACTCTTGGGGACATCAATCTATTTCATTTTTATTTTAGCCAATGCAAAAACACCAAACCCAAATAAAAATGGGTTCATAAATTGAGTGATGGATTTGTGTTGCGAAATGAGATGTGGGTCCATATTGCGATATATAGTGTTGCACAATTGAACAAGTACCTAAAACATTGACATCATTTTTATGATCGAAAGAAAGATTTTTTTTCACAAGGCACACCTTAAAATACCTCTGGCGCTTTCAACACACTGCAGACTATCTGAACACAACCCCCCAAAAAAAATCACAAGCATAAAAGGCTAATGATAATGAAATAAAGAGCTTGATCACGTGGATCTTCGCCCCGACGAGCTGCCAAATCGCAGCCTTGGAAAGTGGGTGGCAGTATTATGTAAATTAGTCGCACTCTCATGTTACCGTCACATTTTCAGTCAGTGGCAGCTCAGGGGATTGACTTCATTTCACAACTGCGAGATGGGCAGGCCCTCCACAGAAACAACTATTTGTGTACACGCAATTCAAGTCAATTTTCCATTATGTTTTTCCTCTAACCTTGCACAAACTGACGGTAATTTTCTGCGTGTGTACAAGCAGGCCAAGTTGCAACGTAATCTTAATGATTAATGAATGTAATCAAGAAAAATGTCGGCTGCCTCGTTGCTTGCACCCCTAATGAGGCTCTATTTTCAGCGCTTAAACACAACAAACTCCCAAACATCCGCAAACACCACAGTCGAATGTAAACCTTTCAAATCGCCTCATTTTTTTTATCCCCCCTCCCTCCGAGGGGCGGGCAGGAACAAAGTACAACTAGTCGCTTGAATATCTATATATATATATTAATCAATAATTATTGCATATAATTGACAGTAAAAGTCATTTTTCTGTTGTATTGTATATCTAGAGTCTAACTTTCACTTGAGTTGAATCAGTACTTCGACTTTTAACTTTTTTTTTTTTTCACAAAAAGTAAAGAGTGTGAGTCCTGTATTTTGGGTTGCCAGTGTCTTTATCTCACTGACCTTCAGCCTCTGCGTTTTTGCCCCGACCCGCTTGCTTGTCCAACACATGGCCGGCGGGCAGCTCGGCTTCGGGCCCTTTGCCTCCCACACCATTGTGGACGTCGGGCGTCGAGAGGCTGCTGCTCGTCTTCTGCGGCGAAGGGGGAGGACTGTCCTTTACCTGCCCTCCGCCACTGCCTCCCTGACGGTCCTTCAGCTTCCTTTGGAGGCGCTCGTGCGTTTTGCTCGTTCTGTCATCTCTATGGACAAATGCCTGGCGGCTGTGTTGGGTGTGGGAATCTGCAGAGTTGACTTAAAAAAAACAAACGAAACAACAAAAAAAAAAAAAAAACAGGCCAGTCACTATTTACATGCATGCTAACAATGCATGCATATTGATTACATTTTTCTCAAGTGTGTCGTCAGGGGGATCCTATATCGGGATTGGCATAGTACCGGGAGTGAATTGTACAGTATATTACATTCACTGGAGTGAATCGTATCTTATCCTGAACAGAGAATCGTATCTAAATCTGAGTGAATCATATCTGAATGCCTTGTAAATGGGAGATAATCGAATGCCTTATAAGTGGAGTTTATCGTATTGTAATTAGAGTGAACGTAATTAAAGTCAATGATGTCGTATCACATCAGACATGGAATGTTATGGTTTTGAAATAAACCGCACCTTAACTGTACTGAATCGTATCATATTTGGAGCAAATCGTATTGTTCGGTAAACCGTATCACCTCGCATGGCAACGAGAGAGAATTGGATCAAACATAAACGGAATCCTATCACAATTAGAGCGAATTGTATCAAAGTGTTGAATGTGATGTATGCGCCTCAGTGATGGAGCTGCACGCCCACATCCAGGCGAAGACCAAAACGGGGCGGCGTCTCACCTTGCTCTGAGTAGATGTGAGCCGGGTGATATTGGGAGATATACTGCGAGCCCATGTCGCCCACTCCGCCCACCATTCCCGTGTACAGCTGAGGGGGCGGGGGCATCATGGCCGGGTGCGGGATAAAGGCAGGCAGGTGGGCGTGGGGAGGCGGCGGAGCATGGTGGAGAGGTGAGTGGCCGCCCGGGTGGAAGTCGGGTTGCTGTGGCAACACCAGCACCCGCCGCACTCCGTTCTCCTCAATGATCTGAAAGGAGACGACGCGGTGTTAAAATGTGCACGATTGATTGGGCGAGTTGCAACGAATGACGCGGTTATTCAAGGTGTTGGTGGTTTTTGGACATCATGTAGTATTTGTCCGCATTCGCTGCCGAAAAAGTAGAAACCGAAATGTCTTTGTTCATCCACTTGCACACACTATTTTGATATCAAGCAAACAAATATCCTCCTGAACAACTTGCTAGTTGGCACTAGGATGGAAAACGTATCCAGTAATAGAGCTGGGCTTGTCAGGATAACTTTGATAACCGAGATGACATATTTTCATAGAAACTATCGCAATATCGTCAATTAAGCTGAGAATGATGTGATTGGACCTGATTTCCGATCACATGATCGGGATCGACACATCCCTACTTATTTTTTTGAACAGTTAAAATAAACCGGACAATTTCTCACAGGACACCAGATAAACTCACACTGATCTACAGGATGCTGACCTGTGAAATGTATCCAGGAGGCACATAGATTGGAGGCACTGAACCATTTGGAGACATCATGGGAACCTGAGCAGGACCTATAGAAAGGCAGAAGAAAAAGGCAACATCAAAGACCGAAAGACAATCACAGGCCTTTGTGTGCATTAAAAGCACAGGCGGCAAAGTCACAAGGGGATCTTTTTACAAATGCTTTCGCCATCATGATCAAATAGTTTTTATTGTTGCTTTTTCTTTGGCAACTTGGTACAAGGAGTACAATCATTGAGATTTTGACTCAATTTTGTGGCATTCCAGAAAGAGCACATCAGCGTGAACAGGCAACTGGTGCCGGTCGTCTGTTTCTTGAAGTTCTTGGCAAGTGTAGCGAATGTTTGCAAAACAAAACCAACAAAAAAAAGTTAGTGCATAAACAAGGAATGTAACAGTACAAAAAGAGCACCAAAGAGGACAACTGTTAGCCAGCTAGCATTAGCAGTGCTGTACACTGCTAGACCTCATTTATAAATGCAAAAAAACCCCAAACCCTCCCACCAAAAAAACAACTACGTGCCTCTGAATCGACGGGACACATGAACTGACTGCTTTGGTTTGTTAAAAAAAAAAAAAAATGCATGACCTTTTATCAGGGCCATGATTTTTTTCCCCCCCCATTTTATTCAAGGAGCGTGATGTCAATATTGTAATTATCATGACAAGCCTACATACAAATTCACAGATACAGCCAGGAGATTAAATAGCTCTTTCTTCTTTTTATATACCAGTGACGCAGATGAGTCAAACATATTTACTTTTCGACCACAACCGCCCCCCCCGCCAGCCAATTCCTGGCAAAACTGCGAGATGACCACTTAACCGAAGTGCTGAACAGACAACAAAGCTTCCTGCATGGCCGTGGCCCGAGTGCAGCAGCTTCGAGACAGCTCAGCAGAAAGCTAAGTTGTAGAGCGGGGTGAGAGAACCTCAGTGCCAAGTCGCACAGAAAGGCATAAACACTCGGGACCCGAGCGCACCACGTGTCATGCGAGAGGTCCAGAGAGTTCCAGCACATACTGACCTTCCGGTGACCCACTTGTGGGGGAGTTTGTTGTCTTCATTTTTTAGAGCTGGCGTATGCAGCGAGCAAACGGGCAACCAGACTGGCCCTGCAAGTCCAGAGGCTTGCCTTTGAAAGATCACTGCGAAGCCTCAGCACCACCTCCCCATTGATATGCTCACAATCATGGATCAAACTCCACCTTAAGAGGCTTGTATGGTTTGGGCCCATCTTAAGCAGTATACAAGATGATCTTGCGTTATGTGACAATTGCGTCCTCCCAACGATGAATGCTCCGGTAGACTCTGTCGTATATTTGCTTCCTCCCCGTCCGTGAACTGCCCCTGGACTATATTTGAATCTTAAAATGTATCGTGGTCCAAACTTGTTAAAACCCATGTGGGCTCAACTGCCATAATCATGAACGTGAAGCATTCAAGGAGGCACTTAGTGCCTAACCGTTTCACTCATTCAATATTAGTTTAATGATAAACAAGCACGGGACAGAGTGACAAAGGTCCAGAGTTCAATGAAGCCATCACAGCAGAAATGCACATGGACAAAAAAAAAAAAAAAGTTAATGTCTGCCTGTAATATGTGACATTATGAACCATTAAGTTGTGTAAAACTGGAAGTGTCATTGTCAGTAATGTTACAAACAAAAGGCATCACCCCCTCCCCCCCCCAAAAACAAAAACAAAAACAAAACAAAAAAATGAGTGGTGTTCCACACACACAAAGTGGGGTCCTGGTCGAAACGACAACAACGAAAGACAATTGCAACCGACAAACTAACAACAATGAAAGATGACTACGACTGATGATCATGGCAGAGGACTGCCATGATCGACAATGGCAGATGACTGACATAGTTAACTACAAGTGACAACAGCTGACTAAGTCAAGGTGAACTGCGGCTGATAGCTGTTGAATATGGTACACTAGCGACAACAACAGAATCGGTGGCCGACAACGACATACGCGACAATCATGGCGGATGATCACGACAATTGACTATCACAAATTATTATGGCAGACAAGCGACGACCAAGACGGTTGACCACCTGACAACTGGCAGGCTGATGAAAGCCGACCATCAACAGCGGCAGTTGACAATGACGGATATGACCCAAGACTGTGATGATTGACTGGGACTAACTGTGGCAGATGACGACGAATGGCTACGGAGACTCTCAAGATCAGAGGGCAGAGCACGGCATGACTACGACGAATGACTATGGCAGACAACTGATTACCAATACAGTCAACCATGACAGCACACCACGACCAAAAGGTCGACGATGACCGATGACGGTTGACTATGGCAGACGACTGTAGACCACGTGGATCAGCTGTTGGCACTGACTGGCGGTAGGACTGACGATCATGGCAGACAACCACGACTTACTATTTACACCAGACGATTATGGCTGACAGATCACTTCAAAATCGAATTTTTGTTTTTTCATTACAGTGTAAGTTATGTGGAATCCCTTCTCTCAAAACATGAAAGTTAAACATCATCACACCTGATTATGTCATGTGGGTACGTGTTGAACGACCGGCTAAGAAGCGTAAGCTGACGAGACACTTGTCTGACAGTTGGGGAGAGCTTTTTGAGCCCCTTCTTGCAGCGTGCTAAGCCAGCCTGAGTGAAAGGTGAACCCCCCCCCCCCCCCAAAAAAAAACGACTGCTTAAGAACACACAGCGAGGACGGTGAAAATCTCCATGAGGGATCCTGACCGCATGCAGCCTGAATGAAAGCGGTTATACTGACTCAGCTCTTATTGAAATCACATCACAGAGTAGTTTTGTTGTTTTTTTTTATTTATTTATTTATTTTATTGACCAATAGATGGCGCTCTGTGGTGCACCTTCCTGAGGACTGATGAGAACATTCAAATTAGCTGATGCTGGATAAACACGATGTACAGTTTATGACAAACGGCTTTCTATATGACTCTGTTCGATCAGCACAGAATGGCGGCTTAATGGCAGGCCGCATTTGTTTAAGCTAACAAACATGGTGGGAGGAGAAGGTGGGAGGTACTTGCTTTGCATCAGTCTGACGCACGGCTTCTGACAGATCAGACAGAAAGGAACACCCCCCGCCACACCATCCTTCCCTCCCCCCCTAAATCAACTGGAACATTGGCTGCGCTGACGTGGCTGTAGAGTGCCAGGCTTCCAGCGAAGGGGAGAATAAAAACCCATTCGTCCACCCCCACAAAAGCGCAGACTGACACCGAGCCGAGATGAGTAGCCGTTTGACCTGTGGGAGACGAACGGGTTCAGGCGACTCCTAAAGCTTTCCCCTCCAACCTTCCGAGTGTGAGCTGGGTACAGAGAGAATTTTGAAACAGTTTAACTGATTTCGAAAATGCTTGCTCTCTTCCCCAGTGGCTTGATAGAAGTCAGAAGCGGCATTGACCAGGATTCTCAAGAGCCTTTCATCAAGGAGTCAGCATCTAGCAGACTGAAATATTCCGTGAAAATGGTGCTGACTCAAATCACTCAATTACATGGGGGAGGGGGGGGGGGCACGATTTATTGCGCTTGAAGAGGGCAACATCAAAAAAGGTGTCGAGATTTCACCTAATATCGCCATAAAGACTCAAGCGAGGGTGCTTATTAATCACGGTTAATAAATTGACTTAGTACGCACATTAAAAAAAAAAAAGCAGGGAGAACGCAGACAAATGAACTAATAGTGGTTATTAATTGCAAAGTACTAGATAAAACCATTAAGCATGAGACTTTCAATGAAAAAAAAACCAAAAACAGTACCAATTAGAAGTAAGCACTTCCTCATTGAATCTTAATTCTGGCAGTAACTAGGGGAGCGGGAGGGGGTGGGGGGTAGGAAAAGTAGGAACCATGCCAGAGTCCCCCCAATTCCAAGCTGTTTTAGAGGATTTGGACTCATCTGTTACATCCTACAAACTATTGTGTTTTGTCCCAACCCCATCAAGACGGCGTAGAGACTCTTCCTTCACCAGAGCAAAAGTTCATTTCTACCTTTCGCCATTCTATGATCATTGACGGGAGAGTGTGGGTTGGTTTCGGATCAAATGCAGAGATAATTAGCGGTTTGAGAAAAGAAACATGCCAAGCAGAACATGGACTTTGAGATATATATATATATATATATATATTTTTTTTTTTCATACAAAAAAAATTAAAAATGTGAGAAACCCTCTTGCCTACAAATACTGTCTCAGTGCGAGGTTCCTAAATTTTTCTATTCATCGCATCTCGCCGCCAGAAAAGACAATTCGATACGAGATACTCGATTCTTGATACATTTTAAAATGAAACGTTTCAATTCGGTGATTCGATGCACTCGCATCTCTCAAAACAACTCGTTTCCCGGTTCAAATCCACACCCTTGGTTAAGATAACTAATTTACTTGTTTAAAAATTGAAAAAGAAAAAAAAAAAAACACGGGAGGTCCACCAGCTGACAGTGATGCGATACGTCGTCGTCAACAATGTAGTGTGCTATACAAAAATCCCTATACACAATAGTAACTCTAACTCGTCAGTAGGGAATGAGTGGATAATTGGGAAGACAGACTTTGTCTGCGATGTTTTCCAGAGGCTCCTGCAGTCTTGCCAGCGTGGATGACGTTAACAGTAACCTTCATGCTTGTGCGTATTACAGAGCAGGAGCGCTCGAAGCCAGACGGCACCACAATGAGAGGAAGGCCATTGCCATAGGGACCAGGTCCCCCGTCCCCCCTCCCATCACATTTGTTGTTGCTGTTTACAAGCCCACACAAAAATAAAGGTGGACATTCCTTGAAGACTAAACTTAGATGTTTAAACATGATCAGTTTCTTCACCGTTTCTGCCTCCCCCGGAGCAGTGGGAGAATGAGTCACAAGCTCAGTCATCCTTGGAGCCGCTCGCCGAGTTAGCTGTGAATGAACGTGAGCACCTTCTTGAAATTGAAGGCGGGAGATGTGGCTCGCATAAAAATAACGCGCTAATGTGCCCATTTTGATGTTTGCGGGGCCAATTACCTGAACCGTATGCAACGTGTCGAGCTCGGGTGAGCATGCAAGGCGTGAAGGGATACGTGCCGGCATGTTACATCTCCGCCGTAACTGAAAACGTGTGCGACCCTGACAGCGTAGGCCATCTCATGCAATCGGGCTGCAGGTATTTAACATCTTTAGAATCAAATATTCTACCAGTACAGGATTCAGCGGATAAAATGTGATTCTGAATTACTAAACTAAATGCTGTGATCTCAGGTAGCTGCTAGCTGATAACTGGCATTCCATTGGCCAGTCTGTGCCACGACATTAGTTGTGGCCCAAGCCGAAAAGAAAAGACAACAACACCGTGTATGTTCTTTTTTGCTATGCATTTTTTAATCTTTGTGAAAGAGAGTGATGTGGGCTCGGGACTTGAAATTGCTCAGAAGGAAGGCCTAAAACAATGAAACAAATGGCAGTTCGGAGTAATTGTGCTGCAAGAGCAGCTGCTTACATTGACTCAACCAGACGAGAGTTAATTGACATGCTGGTACATCTCATAAAAATGCAAAACGGCACCCGGAATGGCGGTGTCAGATATGCCGAGGCCTGGGACGATTCAAATCGGGGTGAGGGAGAGGGTGGGGGGTGATGTCTGTTACGCAACCAGTGGAGAGGTAGAAAAATATACCTGCACAACCAGAGTGTTTTTCAGGATGCAGATTTAAAACAACAAAAGAGATTAGAATAAGTATGTATGCCCCCCCCCAAAAAAAAAACCTAACATTTTTTTCACATTTTAATTGCATGCTCAGGGGTGGCCACAGGACTGAATTTGATTTCAAAGCAGTGGCCACACCCCTTAAAAGCACACATTCACACAAATACTGTAATTACGCTTTATAAAACCCATCTATCTATTCATTCTTTGAACTGTTTAGCCTCTCTTGGTTTTATATATTGGCATAGCTTTTGTGATGTCTTTTAAACAATACAGTTCTCTATTTCTGAATGAACAATGTAAACAAAAGTTTGTTTTTGTTGGAAGCTGGAAAAGATTTATGCCATTACAATTCATTTTAATAAGGAAAACTGATTTTTCATACGAGTACATTTTGTTCCATGCCTGGTCACGGAACAATTTAAATCTCATAAAATCAAGGAATCATTGGGTTTAATTTGTTGGATTAACGTGACGTTTAAAATCAAGCAATAGTAAGGATACGTCGTCAAAATCCGTTGAGGCTACGAAAAAAAAAAAAAAAGAATGATTACACAGATTAAAAGGGCTTGGGCGGACTCCGCGGATGTTTCTGAGAGATTGGCTGCACACTTGCATCACACACTCAACAGCGTATGGCTGGCTGCTCTCTTTCAGCCACTGGGGGACCGCTTCAAATCTCTCCGACGGAAAACAGACTCGGCGCATCTGCAGCGCCATCAGGACCCATACCAAGTGTCTCGCTGCTTTGGCACCAGAGTGAACAGACGCGCGCACACACATACATAAGTGTCTGACAAAGTGGGTAGGATGAGGACACGGACCCAATCGGATAGGACGCCACACCTCTATATCAGGCTTGACAGCGCCAAAAGAGGCTGCAGCCATGAATTGGCAGCTATGAGCCTGACTAAACATTAATCCGGGTGGTGTGAAAGACAGCCTGATTAGTAAGTGGCTCAGAGGAACCCAAATATTGTAATGACAAGGACTGCGCACAAATTGGTGGTGATTCGAATGGGTGCGGGAAAGCGATTGATGAACTATAATTTTTGCACTCTGATCAGATTGAGTCTTGGGATATTGTTGTGGTCAGACTTGAATGGAATGGCGAGCTCAGTGTACGTGACCAAAGTATGCGGGGGAGTGTGCATTGGCAGTTTTGGAGCGTGCTACCTTCGAGCTAGATGACGTCTGGGAATATTTAGCCAGTTAATGAGCACCAAATAAAATGCCAAAGACTACGGTCAACTTAACCCGTCGCGGCAGTGCAACTATGCCTCTTTCATTAATCCGCTGTCAGCTTCTTACTCCTCTTGTCACTCAGGGTAAGAAATGTAAGGAGTTTGCGCTAGAGATACGTTTCCCCAACTAGCCCTAGCTAGCAAGCGTGCAGCTGGTCCACAGCAACAAAGGTCCGCCTAAAGCACCAAGTAACTCGCTACCATCAACACAAACACCGAATGTAGATTTAGGACATGCATTAAGCAAGCACACTTTACCTCTTGTAAAACGTAACATTTAAAAGCTCTCCAAAGCCAAAACTATTTCAAGTTAATTAAAGGAAAAAAACATCCAACCATTTCCTACCTTGTCTGTATCTATGATCTCAATACATGGGGAGCAACATAATTTAAGGACAGTGCGTTATAAAACGTTACATTTCAATTCCCTTTGTATCAGAAGCAAAAACAGTTCCCTGACTGAAAGTCATTTTCTTGACACCGCTACTCATATGGCTGCATCTTTATGGCGCGGTATCAACTATAGGACCCGCGTATCGTGCAACCCTAGTGAGGACACGCCAAAACAAACCAAGCAAACAGAAGCCCATGCACGCATGCACAAACACACACTCGCTTCTTCTGCTTTCCTGCGACGCAAGCGGTGAGTCATCCTTCTATTCGCGTCACAAAGATGAGTGCACCCTGTGACAGACCAGTTAGTAGCAGCCACACTGATCTACAGTAGGCACTCTTCAGCCGCCGCCCCCCCCCTCCAAACCCCCCCCCCCTTCTCTGAAAGAGACACTATGTATGCTCAGCCCCTATTAGGACGCTTTATGCAGCTCGTAATGGGCGGCTAGTGCACCACCGGCACAGTCGGTCGGGCATGGAGGGAGAGAAGCGAAGCACAGATTTTTTTTTTTTTTTGGCTTCCTCCGCGTCATTTTAGACCACTGCCTCAAGTCCTTTGTCATCCAAACATGGCATGCCTGGGGCCTGTTGTACAAGCTTTTGGTCTCATCTTTATTCATTTGTGTCACAAGGTATTGGCGAAGGCTACGCACAAGAGAAGAAATAGCATTGTCGGTCGACAATGACATACGAGGCACTGATCCGGAAGGTTCCCAAAGCGGGTGCCAACCAAGTCATCAAACGCAAGCTGCAGCTGATGCATCTATTACATAGCGATCCCACAAAAAAAAAAGTCATATCAGAAGATAAACATCCACTTTGGCCATTTACACAGAACCCAGTAAGGCAGGATCTTGACACCGCAAATTGCTTTTTACACAATAGGACGGAAAAGTGTGTCGGGAGTTAACCTTCACATTTGTGTCCCAGTATGGCCGAATAGCCTTACATACAGGTGTCGGGTCACTTTTAATACTGCTATTACCTCCGCTGGTCGAAAACTGTCCGGTTGACTACCCACATTCTGTGTAGGTAGCATTAATACACCTCATTGATGTATTCAATGATAAATGATAAACAATGCACCGTCAAAACTGTGAATGGCACCAGCACATTGCCGGGCGGATGAAACTGACTCAGTTGGTGTCCGCCTTGTTGATTCCATTTTCAGAGAACAGTGTGACGGTAGAGGTCACAAAAGTTGCCGTTTTTCTGCCTTATTTTAAGGCCCAGTAGTTGTTCATAAAAAAAGGGAGGGATGAATCAAGTCACTGCGGCAATTTTTACACCTTCTCAGGTCGCATCAGATTCAATGCTGGGATAAAATTGCACAGCAAAAATTGGGCTTGAAAAAAAAAAAAAAATACTGAGATGTGGAATACTAATTCGTGTCAGTGAAACTGCTCATTTCTTATGGGAAACTTACTCATACTAATACCTGTAATCGAGAGTAGAGATGCAACAATTAATCAATTACCCAATTAATCGATATTATTTTTGGTCATCGATGAATTGTTTATAGATTTTTTTTTTTTAATTTCAAATTTAAGGTCCTCAACAGAATTTTTTTTTCAATTTCTCCAGTCTTTCATGAAAGCAGATTATCTTTATGCTGAATCAAAATAAAACATTTGCTTTCACTTTGGAAAACAACGATCAACATTTTTGAAATAATGTCCTGTTTTTGAAGAAAGGGATGGATCCGAAAACATCTTTTTAATCTGAGTGATTGATAGATTATTAAAAGAACAGTGAGTTGTAGCCCTATTTTGAAGTTTCAAAAAAATGCTTGACGCAAGTAAAATATTTAAAAGAAAAAGTGCCTGGTTATAAGAATTATCCTGCCAGACAAAGAACAAGCAGACCTCGTCTTGATTCGAGATATTTAACCTTGGTTAGACATTTCTGTGCGAATGCCATTGGCGTAAAAAAACGCCTTGTTCTCCGCGGTGTCAATTGTGCAGGATTGCTGTGTGAAAATGGATCACTTCAAAGATAAAAACCCTCATTACGGATACACACTTGTACAGCGCATCGCTTACCTGTGATACACTGATACTGACCATCCTCTCGTCGAATAGTGAAGGCCTCACCTGGGTTTACCTGCACCAGGATTACCTGTGAGATGGGGTGGATGGGGGGGGGGGGGGGTAGAAAAAAAAAAGAAAAGCATTCAGCTCAACGGCAAAGAAAAACACCCCGGCTCACCCTTTTGCCACTGCTCACAAAGCAAGACCTGTTTGACGTCCAGAAACATGGAAATTTACTTGTAAAAGCGAGTGTATTAGAGCAAGCAGGCAGAAGCTCCTTCCACAACATGCTGGGGGAAAAAAAAAAAGTACAGCTGTGCCTTGACTTATAACTGGTTTTATAAAGTGTAATTACAGTACATATGGTAGGATTTGTCTGCTGCATGTGCGACCTGAAGGGCCGCGGCTTAGCGTGAGTAACATCAGGAGCTCGAGTCGGTTGTACGAGCAAGCTTCTTGGGGAGAGTTTTGGCCTACGGCAGCAAACTTGCGAGTGCGATTTTGTATTTGTTCCCTTCACGAAACGTCGGATGCTCTCCTTGCCCACATGCGAGTGCATGAGCGTATATCGCCCCCACCTTCACTTCAACCGTTGGCTCAACTAACTCCAATTTTGGAAAAAAAAAAAAGTGAACAAATCAACCAGACGATAGCTGATGCCACGTAAAACACTTAAAGGCACTCTAAGTCAAGGTACGCTCACACATCTGCTACCAGGCAACCAATACATTCCCTCAAAGGTGGCAAATCAAAGTACCACATGGAGGACTTGGGAGTTCCAAACAGTTGAAGTGAGTCATCTCTTCAACAAATTAGCTCTCATAAAGTGCTGAGAGTTATTTAACAGAGTGCAGAGGTAAACAAACAGTCCATTTCCTGACACTGAACAAGCCAGAATACAGCCGTGCTTTTTTTTTTTCTTTAGTATTTATTGATGGAACTCTCACATCACATGGTTGGTCCTTTAACTACATTCGATCTAAAATCTTTGCCAATGAAATTCCCCTCGTGAACTCTCACTAAGGCGTCTTTGTGCCACGGATGGATAAATGATGCGCAAACCAATCAAAGCCGCCATTCAGGCAAGCTGTTAAAGTGAGCTTGCAACAGCCAATTCTACATTTGCCGACTCCCACGTCATTCACCAGACCAGGCCCGACCTTTTAAAGCCAGAAACATTCAAAGTCACAGATAGGATAGCGTGGCAAGGTCGCAATTGGACAACATCAATACCCGCACTTTAGATTTTGATGATTAGTAATGCAAAATCAATTTTTACTTCTTCGATTCTTCCATGGGATGATCGCTAGAATAATCAAGTTTATAAATTTGATATCTGACCCCAAAGCACTGATATTATTCCAAACTCACCTTACCCTTAAAATGGCTTCTAGATTATTACATTTCAGCGGGTCAAAAACACACACTGGTGGTCAAGACCCCAGAACTTTCACTCATCATCCTGGAAAAACTCTTCCCCAATATACCAAGTTTCAAAGTAACACATGAGAGATGTCGAATTTGATATCTGACCCCAAAGCACTGATATTATTCCAAACTCACCTTACCCTTAAAATGGCTTCTAGATTATTACATTTCAGCGGGTCAAAAACACACACTGGTGGTCAAGACCCCAGAACTTTCACTCATCATCCTGGAAAAACTCTTCCCCAATATACCAAGTTTCAAAGTAACACATGAGAGATGTCGATTCGTCATCATTCAATATGCCCAAAATTTTCTACAAATAGTGGAGAATCGGTTGCCCCCACCCACAAATTTGAATTGGTCAAATAGTGAGCGATCTGTGAACTTTGAATATGTTATTGGTCACAAGGGAGTTGAAGCCTATCCCAGTTGACGTCAAGAGACTTCACTGTGGATTGGTCGCCAGTCAATCATAGGGCATACATAGTCAGACAGCACTGTCGGGCCGGGGAAGGCGAAAAGCTTTTTTGGGTTACCTCACTCTTGTGGAAGACGTTATCGTAGAAGCGACAGTCCCCCAGCACGGGGCTCAGGCGGCGGTTCTCGTGCTGCTCGTGTGAATCATCAACCTCCATTGCCAACGCTGCTTCCCGTTCATGTGCTCAGCAGTGACGGGGAAAGAGACCTCTCACTGCCCCCCCACCCCCAACACACACACACACACAGACCGTCTGGGAGGTTCATACACACCCACACGTCAGCAAGGAGGAGGGGGGGCTTCAGGGGGAGGTAGGCGAGCGATGAAGGAAGGTCTAATTGAGTCAAAAGTGGGCAGGCGCGCCCCAGTCAGGTGGCGTCGGCCTGAGGAAATCTACGGTGACCCCCCCCCCAAAAACAAAGCTGCT